TCCACTCTGGTTCCATCTAAATGTGCCTTTGTCCACCATTCCCAGGGCCTGCAGTGTGACGCAACCACCAAACCTTCTTTACATCTTACAGATTAAATGTTATAGTACCAGGGTCTCTACCCTAGCCAGGGTCTCTCTGTTTCTTTCAACACTGATTCTTTCCTGCAGGACCTACACACATTTTTGTCCCCTTCCGCCTACCGTAGTCTTCTATTCTCACAGATGTTCTACAGCACCATAGGCCATCTTCCACCAATCCTTCAAACCCTAGTTGTAATACTTTAAGTTGTATGGACGCGTACAAATGTCTGGCTTATGGCAGGATGTTTCCATACATGTATACCATGAAGAGGCTTAGCCGATTCCCTCACGAACTCCTTCTTTCACTTGCCATTCCTTTAATGCGCGCCCACACAGATGAGAACGTTTAGAATCTTCTAGATTTTGAAAAGCCCAATTAAACAACGTTAATCATCATCAGCGTACAGAACATATGAAGTCACCCCTCCTATTCAACTGTGTCCTTTAATCATCTTCTAATCGTCCTCTCTTAGATGATGCCCAGGGCCCTGCGACCTTCCCAGGCACAGGTGAGGGCACCGCAATTTTTGCCAGCCTTGACATCTTTCTATCACAGTGCCTCCTAGCATTTAGAAGTTCCAGGAAACATGGGAACATAAAAAAAAAAAAAAGTTGGAAGTCTTCACATGCGTTTAACCACAAAGAGAATGCTCTCGAGGTCATGTTTAAATTAACAATGAGTAGGTCCTCCTGCACTCTGCAGAAACAAAAGCTCTGGGTTGCTTGGGCCCTGTGACCCTTGGAAATCCTCAGCACAGACAGGGGAGACTGTCTGAAGTCCTGCTGGCTAGGACTGTATCTTGCAAGGTTTCCACTTGTCATTAGCACTTAAGCAACTGGACGGAAGGAAGAAAGGAAGGAAGGAAGGAAGGAAGGAAGGAAGGAAGGAAGGAAGGAAGGAAGGAAGGGAGAAAAAGTACCAGCACTGTCTGGCAGCTTTCCTTCGTTGGGATTCAGTCTGCTTTCCCATTCCCCTCTTCGATGCTCATTACACAACAAAACACCCAAGACAGAGAAACAGGAAAAATCCACCCCAAGGTAAAACTCCACACTGACTTCAAAAGGAAACCCCCAAGATAAAATTGTAAAAACTTTTGATGCCTTTTTGCTGGGTTGTAAGACACATGCTATATCAAAATACCACCATTTTGGGTCTAGAATCTTTTTTTTTCTGGGTACAAAGGAAGTTAAATGAAGGCCTTTGTAGAGCAAAGGCACCTAGGGTGGTACCCAGGGAGGAAGCCCTAACCCCACAGCTTACCAGCAGCTGCAGGCAGTCTGCCAAGCATTGCACAAGACACTGCCACCCAGCATAGCCCTGTACTCCTCCTTCAACTTGTGAGAGGGAAAAGAATTAGAATATAAGTTTCAGAAATGTCAGAGAAAGTAGAGGGGGGACAAATTAGAAATCAAACGAGAGAGAGAGAGAGAGAGAGAGAGAGAGAGAGAGAGAGAGAGAGAGAGAGAGAGACTATCTTAGAATGGGTTCCTTGACATTTGGAGACTTTATGAAGTCAGCAGGTTGGGTAGTAGGCATGAGGAAGAGGGAAGCATAGGCTGATTCCTCGCAGGAAGGGTCAGTGTTTGATCAGCCAATCAAGACTTGGGAATGATCTCTTCCCTCCTCAGAACACAGATTGGGAATCACCTGGTTATAATGAACAAGATGCTGTCTATTGGTTAAAGGAACTAAAACATATGGGGTGTTTTGTGGGAGAGGGTTAACATAAATATTATTGGATAGGGCCAGGGTGTGGCTCAGTAGCAGAATGTTTGCTTAGCCTGAGCAAAGCTCCAGGTTCTAACCTCAGCACCAGGAAATGAGTGAGTGAATGAATGAATGAATGAATGAACAAACTGTTAGGTAAACTGAATCCTCATTAACATCTATTCCATAATCAAGTCTTTAAAGTTTTGTGTGTGTGTGTGTGTGTGTGTGTGTGTAAGCAATGTGTGTTCAGGTGCCTGTTGAGGCCAGAATGGGTATCAGATATCTTGGAGCTAGAAGTTATAGGCAGTTTGGAGCTGCCTAAGGTGGGTGCTGGCATGCCAACTCTGGTCCTCTGACAGATTGGTAAATGAATGCTTTTAACTGCCGAGTCACCTTTCTAGCCCCACACATATCAACTTCATATGGCATGGAAATCTTCTACTCAATCAGATTAATATGGTCAGGAAAAATACCTTAAATTCCCAAAGGGAGGACACTCTTTCCAGTGGCAGTTCTGGAACAAGCTGCTTTCTTAGCAATCTGTGATACACGTAACCTCAATGACTGACAACAAACCCCAAACACTTCTCTATTTTTACAGTGAAACATCAGAAGTAATTTAGAAACAGCTTAGCCCACAAGTTACAATAATCCAAACTTCGGAGAAATTAGGAAACAATCCGTAGAAGATTGTTTTGAAATACGTCTGGTGATGTGCTCGGATGTGCTTGAACAGAATGGAAAACAAGGCTTGAGGAAGAGCTCCTGGTGTCTGAGAAAGCCATCCACAATCAAACCCGAACACAAACCAGACCCCTTTAGTCACTGTACAGGAACCCAAATGATGCATGATCCACACTTCACAAAGCTTCCTGGGCCAACTCAGACCCTGCTCCCACTGTGGAATGGGTGCTTTAGGATGACAGCATAGCTCCACGTCCAGTGAGAAGATAGTCCAGCATTTGCTGAACGTGGTCTCCTTTTGCCCAAACTCTCAGCTTTTTCCTTTCTCCAACCTTCCCCTACAAACCTCTAACCTCTACCAGACAGCTGGTCCCCAAATCCCTAAAGGACACAACAGTCATCAAACAAGATGGCATGACCACTACCAGCCACGGCTTCTGCGGACTTAGGTGCCCACCTCAAAGGTGACGTGTGTACTCCCGAGTGGTCACTGTGGTGCATGTGCCGTCTAGAAAACAGTAGGGGAAGGCGCCTCATCGTCCCCTGATCCCCTCGCCAAGGTCCACACTGCTTCTGCAAAGTCTGCTTTCCCGTCACCTACCAATTGTCAGTTTTCACACAAGAAAACAAGACTCTGAGGACCCCAGTTGTGACAACTGCTCTCAGGGGATTTATAAAGGACAGGAGGGGACAACCATGACTACTCCCGAGGATGTTGCTCAGCACTGCTATGACCCATGATCTTGGACCACCACAGGGGGCTGGCTGTACACACTCTGTTAGAGTCTGCAGAAGTTACGCCCTTCTCTGAAGGTGGAATGTGGGAAACTTCCAGGGAGTGGCTCCAGGAGAGAGAAATTTCAAAGCCGGGGAAGATGTTGAGAAATCCACCGGCATAGGAAAAACTGAGCCTCGCCTTACGCTGGTCCTGTAACCATGTGTGCTAGGATTTTTTTTTTTAAACATGGCATTTGATTTTCCAGAGGAATCTGAATTAGCACCCTAAGCCATCAAGGTCTTCACGTGGCAGGCTGTCACTGTCCCCGATGGTGTGCCAGAGTACAGTAAACAGACCAAAGTCAGCCACAAGCATTACTCTCACCTCTCACATAAGAGAATGTACTAGAAGGCCCCAAAAAGGAAGAAAAGCACCAGATCCAGCCTTTGCTCGAGCTGCTACCTCAGTGTGTGACGTTGGGCAACTCGCTTAAGGCCTCCCTGGGCCTTGCTCACTCCTGCTCTCCTCTCTTCAAATCAGTTTGGGCCTAAGATGATCTAAACTATTGACTCCAGCCCTAGAGTCCTGACATCCCAGGAACGTACGTAATTACAAGCATCCATTTAATTGTGGGGTTGGAAGAGGGAAGAAGCGTCTAGCACGTGTCAGCCTTCTTCCTGCATGCCTTATTTATACCATGAGAAGTTAAGACATTTCCACCAATCAAGGTTCCAAATGTGGTTTCACAGAAATAAATTATGTTCTGATGAACACACATACAACTGAGGCCTGGCCCACTAAATAATGTATAGTCAATTACACCGAGTTACCAAATCAGGAGGCGGCCTGAAATTTGACAAAATGCATCTTAAGATTTTCTACTTTAAATTATTTTGCAAGTTTTAGAGATTCTGAGTAATGTAGAGGCCAAGCATACTAATGGGTAACATTTTGTGATAACGTAAATAAAAAATGTATGGATTATCTCCTGCTTTGCATAATTCTACCTGTCATGAATTCATTATAAAAATATGTCTTTCGCTAATTATTTCACAAGTCTGACGTCCAGCTCATGATATAAATATATAGAAGGCAATAGATATTCTAATAAGGCTGAGCTACCTTCTCAGGAGGCTAATTTATAAACTTCCAGAGCCCACGGTATGCTAGGAGAACGCATTAAAAATATATGTTGACACACACTTGATGCTGTAGTCTCTCAGTAAAAACAAATGTTTTCTGTGTGGAGACTACAGGCTTTCAAAGCTGTGGATACATGGATTAAGCTTAATTTGGATCTTTCTAAATTCATTTCTACTCTAGGTTTCCAGTCAGCCTGCTCTGATCAAGTTTGTCAATCCTCATGAAAAACATTGCTTTCTAGTGCATATCAGGATAAACAGGGTGGGTGGAAAATTTCAGATCGAGAATTCCCTTTTTTCTCAGCTTAGCCTCTGCCTCACTTCCCCTAGAATGCATTTTTTTTTTCTAAACAAATGCTTCAGTATCATCTCTAGTTTCCCCCTGAAACCAGGAAGGATGTATCCTATTAACGGACGCCCACAAGTCTAGCTTCTAACCCAGAACATAGAGGATAGTGGGGGAAGGAAGACTCAGGAAATTTCCACGTGACAATCACTGCGGGACAGTCACGGAGTCGCAGAGAAGGAATAGTTTGTCAGACAGACTGTGTCCAAAGCTAGTCTCCAGAAAAACATTTGTAAAGAACTGACAAATATGAGCTTTTATCATTAAAAGATTCTTTACCCACAACCAAGGGGTGACTGTCACTGAGAGGTTACTTACAACGATGTGTGCTGGCGACGGTGAGCGGGCATCCTTGAGGGCTTGTCTGCTCTGCAGGCTTCCTGCTTGGACATCGAGCAGTGGCCATTTCATCTGAAGATACTAAAGAAAGAAAGGAAGGAAGAAAGGAAGAAAGAAAGAAAGAAAGAAAGAAAAGAAAAGAAATAATTAATTCAGAGAAGGAGGGTCCAAAAACTAGCCCACCTGAGGAATAAGCATTATTTACATCAGAAAGTAAAAAAAAAAAAAAAATCTAAACACATGCAACAAAGGAAGAGGCATGAGTACGTTTTCCTTAGAGCCAAAAGTGCAAATGCAAAAAATTAACATTACTGACAAGCACAGTGTTGTCTTTGCAGGTCCAGTCACAGGGTGGCTCCAGGAAAAGGAGGCCCAGTAATACTACCTCATTCAGATGGGAGTCACGGAAGGCATGAGAGGGATGAGGGGGTATGACCAGGCAACAAAGGAGGAGATTGGGGGGAGTGGAGGGAAGTGTGATACAGGGAAGGAAAGAGGGGGCAAAGGCGGAAAGCAAATACAGAACCTCAGGTTGAAAGGACCTAGAAAACCCAATGTGCTCTTGGGGGAGCCTTCATCTTTCAAACACATCCTTCACTTCTTTCATGGCAGAGTGTGCCCCATCAGGACCAGGCACAGCACTCCTCAACCAACCCAAAGCTTGGAAAATGAAAAACATTTCTTGGCAGCAGATGCACACCCAGGGCACGGTGCAATTTATGCAGTCGTCTCAAAAGAATGATGCAATTCTTAAATGTGGGCAGCATTAGCAGGAAGAGAGAGAAATAAGAGAGAGACAAAGGAGCAAGCCAGTGTATCCCCCTTGCCTTTCTCTGGAGCAGGAGATGAACACAAAACTAGCCACTTCTGCTGAAACTGATAGAGCAGCTATCAGATGATGCTGAGATATCAATTGGCCTAATTCCTTCTTTAGTTTGACAGATAGGGAAACTGAGGTGGAGCAGCAGCTCAATCCAGAGATGTTGGAATACTTTAAGGACATGAGACTTTCCTGGATGCCCACAGTTTCACCAAGGAAACAGGATGGGCTGCATGTAGGGACACCTGTTTGAGCCTTTCCTATTCCAAATGTCATGTGACTAAGTATCTGTAACACTCAAGGGGTATATAAATAACAAATGTCATCATTCCAGAGAATCAAAGGAAAACGACTCATCTTAATATTCATTCTAAAAATGAAAGCACTCGTGTGTTAAGAGACGTCACAGTCACACGTGGAGAGGACAAATTGCTGGGGTCCATTCTCTCTTGCCACTATAAGAATTCTAGGAATCGAACTCACACCGTCAGGCTTGGTGGCAAGTACCTTTACCTACTGAGACCCAGAATTCTGTATTCAGTGACCACTATGCAAGCTTGCTTTGTGTCTGGTCTTCTTCCTGAGAATGAGGAGGCACACACGACCCTGCCCTTGGGAAGCTCATCCTTGTGAGGTACACAGCCAGGAGGAAGTGGAATGTGGGCAGCAGTGTCCAGGCAGACTCTCTGAGAAAACGCTGGCCAGAATAGATGCAGATAATTCTGAAAGATGTCTATATAGAGAGAAGACAGCAAAGGGCAGTCCGGGAAGACGCTGAGCTCAAACTCCCCGTGGGAACAGAGAGGTCAAAGGTATCAGTAAATGAGAGCATGATTCCTCAAAGACATACCTGTTTGGCAAATTAAAACCAAATATGATCATGCCTCAGGCAGAGAGCCCACCAATTACCTGCAGAAGCATCGTCTGTTTTCCCTGCCTATATCCACACAAGGTAGCTTCATCCTCTACGGCTCAAGGCTTTTGCCAAGAAGCCCCTGTGGTAAAGTTTTAGCTTGTGGGTAGCCTGACAAGATCTTCACTGGATCTGTTTCCGCTGACCTCTAGTTGCTGTGTTAGTTAAAGGGGATGTCATATTTGTGATGGGAGAGTAGTCTGCCCAAATATTGAAGGACATCAGGATTTCAGGCACTGAATCCTAGCAAGACCCTCCCGTTCATCCCTTACAACTAACCCTCTTCCAAACTGGAGCCAGGATAACCCCAAGTTTACAACCATTGAAGACAGTTTCCAGGGTACCCCCCAGCTCTGTCTCCAGCCAGAAGGCTCTGGGAATCTGTTTTGCCCTGCCTCACCCTGACTTTTCCCATTCACACTTACCACATAACTACAGGGGCCACGTTGGTCAAAACCACTCAATAGAGTCATTTCCTTGAGGCCAACCAAAAATGAACACTGGCCAACACTACCTCTTGGCGTCATAAGAACCCACACACAACTCTGCAGAGCCGGACAGCCATGCCCTTGCCTCCTGCTTTGCTCCAGTGGGAGGGTCTGATGAATGGGTAAGTTTTCATCTTTGACCATCTGTAAAGGAGGTCTGATTGCATCCTGATGCCAGCTCTATTGAATTAGAACATTCAGGCTTGGTTTAAGGTAGCAGACTTGCCCCGAGGAACCCACCCAAGCACTGTCAAACTCAGAATGCAGTATCAGTGTGGAGACTCCTAATTCCTAGTGTACATAAAAGCTTCATTGTGTGCCGTGTCCGATCTCCATAGGCTACCTGCACCACATATTTTTATGAGCCTACATTTCAGCGCCCTGAGCCTACAATACCCATAATTTTCAATTATGTCAGGGCAGCCCAGGACCACTGCCTATATAACATTACTGGTCGGAGGAAATGAGAGTCACCCCTGCTGCCCAGAGAGAGCTAACCAATTCCAGATGGTGGAGGGCAGCCCCTGGCCCTGCCGACTGGCGGGGACTCCTCAATGACAGCCTCAAATGCTCCTTTTGGGTGCAACCTGATACCACTGAACAGCCAAGCATCCACAAGTCTATGCTCGATACCCAGAGTGTGGGATGACAGGGTTCCTTTTGGGAAAGCAAGTACTAGGTAGGGATTTTTATTTTAAAAGACGTTATTAACTTCTTCCAAAAGTGACGCCCCCTAGTTCCTTCATCTTCCCCCACTGGTCCTGGTTAACAAGTAAGATAAACAAATGAAGGGGAGAAGAAGGAAATTAGGTACAATTAGAGCCTAGAGGAAAACCTCTCCCTCCCGGAGACATTAAGCCGTGAGAAGTTCTATTCTGCTGAATCCTAAAGGAAGACATTCAGTGGCATCTGAGGCTCACAGAACGGTTGAACACAGTCTCATCTGCCCAGCAGCTCTACTCCAACTTTATATCCTTTGAGGAAACAAAATATCTCCACCATGCTATAAGAAAAACAAAACCAGGCTCCTGCTTGCTTCCTCTCAGGCCTCTCTGCATGGAAATTATGAATTGCCTACAAAAACATTACACTTTTCAACAAACGGCAATCAAATGGGGCTGAGGGAATTCCTACCTTGAGAACTGTTGAAATGGGGTCTGCTCAGCTTTCATTTAGTCAGGAAAAATAATTCTACTAATAAGTTCATCCTGACTTGAGCGTTTCTTCATCTTTTGTTTAATAATAATGTCCTGATTATGGCCCATTAGGCCCTTCTCCAAATTACATTTTACAATATGTCTCTAGGATCTCAGGTTAAGCTTGGACCTGTGGGCAAAGACTTGGGAGACACAGATTGCACCAAGGGCTTGAGGGGAACAGGACCAGCTCAACAGTCTGCTGAACTGTTAACGAAAAGGAAGAGCCGGAGACGGCTCCATCAGTAGTGTGCATGCCATACAAGCATAAAGACTTAAGTTCTAGTCCCCAAAACGTACAAAGTGGGGCACACATGTAAAGTGAGTGCTGGGATGTAGGGACAGGAGGGTCCCCTGACCTCATTGGCCAGAGAGTCTAACCAAATCCCCGGAACTCAAGTTTGGTCTGAGATCCCGTTCCAAAATAATAACAACATTGTGGAGAGTGTTTGAGATAGATACCTAAAGTCAACCCTTAATTTCAACACACTCACACACACACACACACACACACACACACACCATTCACAGGGAAATGTGCACACATGTATACACATGCCCATGCACACATACTCCATACAAATATACAGGGAAATGTGTACATGCATGTATATACACACACCCCATACAAATACACACAAAAATGGGTACGCATCCCATACAAATACACAAGGAAATGAGCATACACATGTATACACACACACAGAAATGTGCACACATGAAAAAAAGTATAAGCGTCTCTAAAGTCCTTTCTTCTTCTATTTCCCCCAATAAATGGGAAAGGGTAAAAGCAGATGGGGAAGGGCTTCCAACAGAAGGTTTGGAGAGTTACTCCCACAAATCACCTGTGTCCTCCAGGACCCCACCAGAGGAATCTGTTACTTTATAGCTGCTACTGGGGGCTGGTGTACTTTCCTAAACAAACAGAAGGACCCAAACCATGATGCCAACGACAACGAAGCTGTCGGGGAAATTCTCATCTGTAATTAAACACCAACCGCTTCCCAGCTCTTCCATTCATTCTCTGGTCCCACAGATGGACAGGCAAGTGGAGACTGCCCCCCGCTTCCCTTATTTATTCAGGACAGGGCTTGGAAACTTCTTCTATAAAGTACCAAATAGTAAATACCTTAGGCTCTGTGATCCATGACCATGCCTGCCACTGTGAGCGGAAAGCCCTTGCCCCCGGCAAAGCGTGGACATGTTATGTTACATTATGGCTGCAAGCACTCAATAAATTGTATTAAAAGGACAGTGGTACCTGAACTTTTTGTATTGGGAGCAGGGTACTATTCTTCTACTGGTCTTTCGTTTTAGACCGTGGGGAAATATATGCACGTGAATACAGACATGAAGGTCAGACAGCACCTCAGATTCCCCTGGCATCTGAGCCACCTGACATGGATGCAAGTTCTCTAAAAGGTTTCTCTTCATTTCTTGAGCCATTAAAAAAAATAACAAAACTCAAAAAAAATTAATTCACTAATTAAAAGTGTTGCCTTCACTTACAAAACATTTGGACACAGGTGCAAGCCAATTGAGAGCTCTGGCCTGTGCACAGTAGGTCATTCTGGCTTAGAGAGTTGTGTATAGGAAGACTATGAAAGTTATCTCCAAATGAATACCACCCCTCTGTAAGTCTTTGGTCTGGACGTTGAAATACA